TTAGTGAGAACAAATGTGTGGGTCTGTGGATGAAGGCATCGCATAGCAGAGGCTAAAATAAGGCTGTTCAGTGGCTGAAGTTCACTTCTTCAGGGTATGGCAGCCAGCCAGCCAACTGCCTATGCAATTTTTCTGTACCAGAGCAAAGCCACACATCAGTACTTTATATTTTTTCTTTATCTTGTCATGTGAAATTACACAGACTTCTCAAGTACACACACCAAAAAAAATGTTTTTAAAAAAAATTTCCTTATGTTTACAAAAAGGTAACAACACAATAATCTGACCAAGAAAACATTAATTTTTGAAGGGAGAAAAAAAACATCTACACTTATAATTGTTTGCACTATAGATGTCTTAAATTCCAGCATATTAATTCTCAACACTGTTAACCTGTTATGCCCCATACACTGCACCATACATGATCAGTTTTTGCCTGAGTGTTATTGTAACTTCTCCATTTGGCTAAGCTTACTGAAGAAATCTGACTAGAAATTTTAGCATGCCACTTAGTGTATATGCTGTAATTTGAAAGTAATACATTTGCTGTTATAGTTTGTCATGAGCATGTGTTGCAAACTCTTCAGGGACTGAAAGAATTAAAACCTGCACATGTAATACAGTCATTGTAATTTATAAAGTCGCAACAATTCTAGGTACTTTACTTTCAGTATTACAAACAGTGTTTCCCAAACTTTTCTTGGTCGCTGTGCCTTTTTTCAATTACAATGTTTCCACGGTGCCCTAATCTTTGTAAAAGTATAACTATTCGTGTCTTAGTTAAATTAATTATGAAGCTTTAACAATATTTTGCAGCCCCCTGTGAAGAGGTCATGGCTCCCTGGGGCGCCGAGGTGCATTTTGGGAATCACTGTTCTAGAAGTAAATGCAGATGGCATGATATTGATAACATCTCCATCAAGTGCCCACTGATCTACAAAAGTGCTTCCCATTTTATGGGGTCTGTGATATCATTACCAGCTTTTGAATGCAATCATTTCTGAGATTCTAATATTTATAAATTAAACTAACTTCTTTAGTATGACTATGAAAAAGGTATGGCAGACCATTGAAATTAAGAGAGGTCAACAGGTCTTAGCAAACTGGAACCAGTGATCTACAACATTGAGAACAACCACCAGCACGCACTCATAGCCAAGGGTGATGCTAGCTTCATGTGGGTGATGTGTAGTGATGCCGATTGTATAACATTACTTTGTGACTGAGGTTTCAGTGCCAACATATTAGTTCTAACCAGTCATCAAACATAACAGTGGAAAGCCATCAACATCAAGGCAGGAATCTTTATCATGAAACAGATTACAAAAGTTTAAAGTTGACAGGACAGACTTCACTGCATCGGGCCTATCCCAATGTCTGTATCTCCTTCTGCAGTACAAATAGCGGCTAGCTCACAGTGTCGCAGAAAGCATATATTTCTTAGCTTCTGCAATGACTTGCTGTAGAAATTGCACATGTGAACCTGAACAATGTAGCCTGCAGAACAAAATCACGACCTTCAATGCACAATTAAAAAAAAACTTTATCACCATGCACACCTCACAGAAAAAAAGGATTATTTGCTGAAAGCCAAAATGATCAAAGATAGGAAAATATTTAAAATTCTTTAGCATAATGTGCTTTAAACTTGCCTCTGATGTTCTCTTTAAATACCATCTTAGTAAAACTATTCTGAATCCTTCAATGATCTAGTGAGCCAAAGTAAGTATGTGTGACTATCTGGTCGAGCATGTAATACCTTTATGGTACTCCCGCACAATGTGAATACACTAAAGATATATTTTATCCTGTTTGTAGCAACATTATAATCTTCATATTAATCAATCCCTTTCTGATAACTCTACAATATGTACAGAAATGTTACAAATTAAAAATCAAATTTTGCCATTAATCTTAGATATGAACAGTTATCCATCACAATTCAAAATGAACATAAAGTTTATGCCCACACACACACAAAGTGTAAACTTCAGAAGTCGAAGTACCCACACACTGTAAACTGCAAGCAATTCAACATTGTTTGTTCTGTGGTTAAATATACATCTGTACAATTGTCCCTATGATCTGTAATTTAAAAAAATGGAAGAAACACTTATGCTGTGCAATAAAGACTTTTCAAACTACTTCCTAGGACAGAGCACAACATTTATCTTCAGCCTGCTGCCCGAGTGCTTGTCACAATTTCCAGTTTGGCCATCATCATCCTGTGCCGTGCAGGCAAGCATCGGCTGTCATGTTTCCCCACCCCATTTCACACAATCACCAGAATTACGAATCAGTTCAATGTTTTTGTGTTGCCCCATCCGTCTGGCCAGGCCATCCAGGTATTTATCTCTTTGTCTTCCTCTTGTTCCCTTTCTATCAATCTTGCCAGTTCTTACCAAGTTCTCAAGTCAATTCCTTCCTATAATGAGTCCCAAAAAATATTCACTGTCTACACCTAATCATTCTAAAAAGTTTACGAATTTCCTCTGTCTCAATGAGGAAAGTGTAGTACGCACCCAGAAATGTCTTAATATATATATATATCTTTACTCTGTGTAAGTAAAATAATATGTTACAATCTGTGTAGATTTTGTAAGGGACACCCCCCCCCCCACAAAACAAAACCCAATAAATTTGTGGATTTTGGTAGTAAAACAACTGACTATGTGAATAACAACGACAACATCTATTTCATTGTGGATTTTATGTTTGAACAAAACAAAAAATCACATTTGAGATTTTGTGCAAGTAAAATTTTCTACTGCCTGTGTGTTACCAGAGCCCTCACAGGAATAAAAAGAATAACAATGCACCACACCAGGCATGTCATAAAAGGCGACTAAGGGCAGGGTTGGCAATCTCAATCTATAAAAATATTAGCCTACACCCAATTGTGAGAATTACAGATACATAATTGTAAAAAAGACAGGGGGAAAAAACTAAATAAAGTGGGAAAAACTAAATTAAATAGAAAGGGAAATGAAGGAATGCAAAATTACAGGGGATACCATGGGCAGAAATGAAGCAGACCAGCAGCAATGGGGATCCCTTATGAGTGCCTAGCGTATCAACAATGACATCAAGAGCAATAAGTCACAAACAGCATAGTCCATAGGGGCCCCAATTTGTTTTGGAGTGTCGCTCCTATTAGCAATATTTTTCTTCTCTCCGACTGGTAGTCTAAGCACTCTTGTAAGAAATTCTGGATTCGCTTTGGTGCACCATGACAAATAGTGTCTAGTTTCTGAAAGCTCCATTTTCTAACAGCTAAGATAATTAACAAAAATAATTCTTGTTAAAATAATTCAGACCACCCCTCCCCCCAATCTGAAAGGTATCAAAAGAACAGATATAAACTTCAAAGGAGGAGGAACCCATAATTTATAGACTATAATTTCACAAAACAATTGTATTTTTTATACCAATGAATGTAACATATGTAGTGAAGAGAGGCATATCTCCAATATATCACTCTACAACAGAGGTAAAATGGCACAAAAAATAAAACAGACCGAACCACAAATTCACAGTGAATGAAACGTGTACTGGAATTTATGATACAAATATAGAACAACCATTAACTATGCTGAATGTATGAGCTATACACTCGACAATTGTTACAAACATAAGTGTACAGTTTACGTTATTTTGAACCTTCTTGTGATTGTTCAAAATTTGATTGTACAAAGACAAAAAGAATATCTTGTCACTATTAGTGGAGATTTGAGAAGCATCTGAGATAATATTTAGCACACAAAAAGCAAAGTCATAATGTAGGATGCTACCATTATTTTTACAACAAATATTCAATGACATGGACTATTTCTTTCACGGCATATTTATGAAATAAATAACGTGTGAAATTATGACTAGTTACCACATACAATCTGAAAACCTTAAAAAATCATACTGTTTAGCATCTTTTCTTGTCAACAGCACAGTCTCAAATTTCAAACAGTGAATTATATGATGTTATCTTCATTAATTGAATTCCTTCTATGTTGTCTTTATATGTTCAAGAATTGAATTAAGTCTATGTTGGCTTCATATGTTGAACTGAATTTGTTCCTATAATTTCTTCCCATGTTCACAAAATGAATTGAGTCTATGTTTGTTGTCTTCACAAGTTCACAAACTAAATACACCCTATGTTGTCTTCATATGCTCACGAACTGAATACAGCCTATGTTGTCTTCAAAGTTCATGAATAGAATTCAGCCTTAGTTGTCTTCATATATTCATGAATAAAGTCAATGCTCAAATTTCAGGACAGCACCATTCAGAGAACCACATCTCCTTCAAGCAACAACAGGCAATATCCCATGCTTCTTCTCCCGGTGTTTCTGCAACTTCCACCTGCACGTCCCCCGCCACTCACAGAGGTCACAGAAGAACATCTCCCCAGTGTGTTTGCGCATGTGGCGTCGCACATTCTTCCTGTGAGAGATCAGCAGCCCGCAGATGGGACAGTTATAGCTGCGCACCTGCCTGCCTCCTGGGAGCTGTGTACCGGCCGGAGCAGTGACAAAGTGTTGTGACCAAGTCTTGCCCACATCTACACTTCCCATAGCAGCAGGATCTGCAACAAATAAGAAAGCTTGTGTTTATGCTCAACTTAGAAAACATGATTTCAGCGAAACAGATACAGACATGCATCAAGTTTTTTTTCTTTCTAAAGATTGCATGCCAAATTATGTGAGCAAACATAACAAGCTTTCTTATTGTTGCTTTTAATCCTTATCACTGCTATGGTTTTTCTGATTTAATTCACCATAAACTGAGGCGTATAAGTCAAATATTCAACCAATTTTTTTTCTTCAAAAATTAGGAAGTTGACTTATATGGTGGGTATAAAATGCATTAATGGGTAAAGACCTTACTCAGAAATCTGAGCTGAAATCTAGGGGTCGACTTGTACACCGCAATTTACAGTACTCTAAATTTACACTAATTTAATTATAAATCTTTAATTTTATCATTAATCTATCTTGTGCTTATAAATTCTCTCCAATGAATGGAACATCTTCACCACTGAGAGAATTCTCAGATTTAATGAAATGCTTTGCTTCTAAATGTCTCTCCAACTGCCAGCGACAAGTTTGAGTGGAATCACAGAAGGGACATGTAAAGACGTCACCATTGTGTCGCCGCATGTGCCTCTTGATGTTGTTCTTGTGCCGGATGATGATATTACAAACAGGGCATCTGAAATATTTCACAGGCACAGCAGGAACTTGGAAAGTGGGGCGGTCATCCTCTGCCGTTTTATCTGTAAGCAAACAATTAGTTCTCTGTCACTACTACAGTTGTGCGTACTTCATTGTATTCATTGTTATTTAACTTCTCTGTACAATGATTTATTAAAATGTTACATCACCATCATCAAGTGCTATGTTGACTGGCACTGGCGATCATGCTTCTCTTTATCTGGAGGTATATATCAGTTTATGTGCCTATACTATTTCATGCCACGTCTAACAGTTGTCAAGAATCTTCTGTCTTTCCCAATCTCTCTTATTTTCAGCTGTCACACTTTCCTTTCTTATAATGTGGCTAAAAATGGTGAATGCCTTTTCTTTTGTTTGTGATTAACTGTCTTCGAATCTTAGCCTCCTCCAACACATCAAGATTACCCATTCTGGCTATCCCAGGAATCTTAGGAAACATAAAAAGTCACACTTCTGAGGCTAAACTGTTACATACTTAACACATCTGAAGGGTAACAAATAACAGTTCAGAAAAAACTAACAGTTCAGAAAACTCCTATTCTCTTCTTCTTCGCGTTCGCTGGCTGTAAACAGGTTTGGGGGGGTTTTGTCCTGTTCCAATTTCCGTGCACATCCATTTTAAAGATCTGGCTTATTTGTATGCAGACTGTGGTTCCTCGGTTCCTCACCTCTCAAGCAATACAATCTGACTTTGAAGGAAATCCCTAATTAGTACACTCACCACATGCTTGTTAGGGAGGCAGTGGGTCTAGACCACAAAACCCACATCCCTATTCTTTTACAAACAAATCCTTTGATACACTGGTATACGCACACTGTGGTATACATCCTTTTTTAGACGCAAAAACTTTTGCTTGGTATGACCTTTGTTTAAAATAAGACCCGTATGCTAGTACTTGTATGAGTCAGAATTGGTCACGACACTGCAAGCTATCTTTTTTTTACCTCTCTTGAGATAAAGGCACAGACAAACGTCAATGACTTTGCAGAGAAGTATCACCCCAACAAAGCCAACACAAGCCGCACATTTCCTAAACATCACGAGCAGAATGCAAAACTGCTTCTGTATTTATGTATTTGGCAGTATATAAATTATTTTTTACAACCCCAATCAATGTATTATAACTCTTTGAAGGCTTTTCGCCAGTAAACTGGTGTATGAATTTATCCCTATTGGACTAGTCGCCAGTAGACTGGCCTATCACACAGATACTCTTATTTTGTTCTGTTTGTGGGGAGAACAAGCTTTTCTAAACGTTTTTTTAAAAATTAGGATTAACAGGAAGTCCTTTCGTTTGCGATGTCCCATGTGGTTTTTGCGTCACTTTCTGATTACAATTATTTTTAGGTGTGATACTATCTTTATGTGATTTTTCTATACTAAATGATATATGTCATTGATGAATCTCTGTCAGAAAAGTCTTTATATTATGACTGATATCTAAGTGACAAACCTATTGAAGATAATTTAGTTTAGAATATGAAAACTGAACAAAATATTTCAATCGATTGTGAAATCTGACATGTCATACAAAAATGACTATATCAAAGTATTTAAATTAATTGTTTCAAATAAAGACTAGCTGATACATAATTGAATAGAGAAGGCATGCACATTCTTAAAATTTGATAGCAGTATTGTTGAACAAGTAAAACAGTAAGGTAAGCACACATTTTATTAATGAAAATAATCCTTATATGTGTCTAACATCCTTGAATGTTATGTGAATTTATTAAAAATTTTGCTGTAATACTGATACTTAAATAGTTTACATTTATTCTGCAATCTGTTATTTTTAATTTGATATTTGCCTTTTCTTCAGAAAGGTTTTAGCTTTGTAGTGTTGCAGTAAAAACGTTCTGCTCAAAATTAATGCTGTCAAAAACCCAGAAAAATGTGGTCCTAAAAGAGTTAAGCCAATAATAAGATTTTTTCTTCATGGGAATGGATTAATCATTCTCTATTTATTTCTCATGGGAAAATATGTTTGGTATATGCACAAGGATCAGGAATGAATTAAGTATGCATCCCGAGGTACCACTGTATTTCTTCTACATTTCAAACAAAAAGTCCACCAAATCTTATGTAAGCTAATTTTCAATTAAAAAACATGAATATCAACTGCAAACATTCATCAAAAGGAGACAATAGTACTGATGTGAATTTTTGCAATATCAAATAGCAGATTTGAAAAAGCAACAAGAGAAATCACAAGCAAAGAATTAGCTGATATTAAAAACTATATTACTGCATTATTTGTTTCCTGCTTTATAAAGGCTGCTGCTAGATTTGTAATCTTATAGACTGGCTAATTTGAAATCAATGAATTCTTCTTCACTTCAACTTGAGATACATGTACCAAGGTTTTTAATCAAATAATATATATTTTTTTTAAAGTTCACCATTCTTGCCTTTTTACCATTTTATTAAAAAAAAAAAAATATGTATGTCACTACTGCCTGTCTATACCACTTTTTTTTAGAGCGGCACAGACTGGGGTGGGGGTTGTAAGCCTGAGGATTAAAGGCTCAAGGCTAGTGCTGTCACCAAGGACTGTACACATTAGGATTTTTATTTTGCCTCTGAAAGAAAAACATCCAAAAAGAAAAGCAAATTAAAAGACCCTTTTCTCGCCATTAGTGCATTAGGCATTTGGTACCAACAGGCACCAAGTGATACGTTAGCACCAAACTGGCCCTCTTCACTTTCAAGGACAATCCCTCTACACCTTTCAGGATGTCCACCTGAGAGCGCTTACCCGCATAAGACTGCAGCTTGACTTGGCTTGTGTAAAAGCTTTATGGGTGCCAAAATTATAACTTCTTTGGAGTGATACATTTTTCAGACAAAAAAAAACAGTAAATTTCAGTGAGACGCAACCACATATCCTTAATTTATTGAGGAAACTGAAATTAACAAAGGCTAACCTCACATGGCTCAAGAGTTTACATAAAATTTTAAAATTATTCGGCAAATTAGGATGTGATAATGACTAAACAAAAAGACTTTTATTTCTACATTAAACCTCCCATGATCCAGAGTTATTTTTTTAAGTTAACTGTAACAATAAACGGGGCACTAGTTTTATTCTGCACATTTGGATTTAAAATAAAATTTCCTTGTGTGTAACCACTGTGAATTTTTTTTTTAAAATTTTATTACAAATGTTAGGTATGGAAGCTTATCTCATAAATGCAGCATTAGTGCCATTTCAAAATTGTTAAATTTCAATGTTTCACATTTAATATTTTGCTTAAAGGCTTTAAAGAACATGTAAAAACAATTCTATAATTTAATTATAGATTTAGCTACTGGGGGAAAAAAATACAGCAGACAAGACAAAATTTAAAACTATTTTTAACTGTTCCTGGAATTTTTTACACTTATAACCAAAGCTAATTTAACCACAATTGCAAACACTAAAGTAACATTAAAATAAAACTGTCCAATTTCCAATCACCATCACATGAACTCTCTAATGCTTTGAAAAAAAAAAATATATATATATATATATATAAATGGAACAACAGATGGGACAGTAGGCCACACAGTTCAGAGATGTATGCAGCAAAACAGACTGGTAAACAGAAAGAATGAATTATCTGTACTAATTAGCCACAGACATTTATTTATCAACACATAATGAAGCATGTATTTGTGTATTTCAGTGGAATGAATTTGATTATGTGTGTGCTTCATCATGTAATTCTGCAGTAATGCACCTGAGACAAGCAAAATATGTCTAGCAGTATAATGTTTGTGTGTGCATGATTGACATTCACTTTCCTCTGCTACAGTTGGCCTTTTAAAGATATTATATATCACAATTCCGGTGAAAGTAAAGATAGTCCCCCCATTCAAACAGTGCTACATACTGCCTAACTTCTGATTGGTCAACCTTCAGCCTAGCTAACTTCTGACTGGTCGACCTTGATACAAGGTGATGGGGATGTTCCGCAATACCGTTGACATCGTGTGTTGCATATTTCAGCACGCCAGCGCTTAACACTCCAAAAACATCAACATACTGGGTCTAACACATAACCCCCCTAGACGGAGCTGCAACCTATGTCACAGGCATTCTCTTCCTCGGAATAAAAATGTAAATGCAAAAAAAAAAAAAAAAGATAGCAAACAACAGAGCCGCACACCCATAACACCCAGCAGTTAAGACCAGTCCAAGAAAGCTATCAAAGGAACGTGACCTACTTTCTGTGTGGAGACTAATGTTTGTTTGACCCACAATTCCTTTTCCCCTGTCTGTTACTTTCTCAACAAAGTTAAAACCGAGTACAACTCACAAGAACTGGCGTATAACAATCATAAAACAATATTTAATGGCACTCTGAGATCTTATTTTAAAATAAATAAATCAACAGAAATACCTGCAACAGATTTATACACAAATGTTTCACTGTTATAGCATATCAAACATTTTGTTAACCCCCTTTGCCCCCAAAACAATTCAGTGTCAGGGATGGGGAAAAGGGAACTCAACCTAGAAAATCATTTTACACAGGTCCCTAATGAACATTAAAAATTTTAAGTAAATATAATCATATCCAGCCCTCCAAGCAATGCACAGGTTCTAACAGAACCAATGCTATTAACTAGACTTGTCAAAGACAGGCCAAGACTGGTTAAACAGCTTAAACAGTGATTGGTAATGAACAATGCCAGGTTATCGATGTCTCAGGGCAAAAGGGTTAAAGCACATCACAAATATAATCATAAATAATATACAAGTAATGAAGCCCAATTTTACCTATATAATAACACTTTAAAAATGCATCATTTTTGTGGGAACAAGCCTAACAATCACCCTGTATATATAGCTTTCCAAGAAATTTAAAACTGAAAGCCTTAACTTACTTTATAGAAAACAAAGCAAGTGAAGGACTTTTTTTTCTATAAAGCTTATGAACTCTAGTGTGTTCTGTCTCTATTCTATTCAGCTAGTTTTATGAGTGCTCATCATTATCTGTGAACTTACATGTTATGTTTGCAAGCTTACATATTCTGTTGATATCTTTGATAGTTAGACTTTATCCACCAGCAATGACATTATGACAAACAAAACAAAAAAGCCAAATGTTGATCAGGTCTAGTGACACTCAAGGAATCACAGCAGCTACAGAGCTAGGCCATATGACTAAATATCTGGAAACAATGGTTCATGTACATACAGCATGGGGTAAAATATCCCAAAACAATGGTTCATGTACGTTTAAAAAAAAACATATCCAGAAATCCTTTGGCTCGGTACTATGGATATTGCAACCCGTGGGCTTTGATTCCATGAGATACCCCCATAACACCATAACAATATCTGAACACTGACATAGGCTCACACTATTCTCAGTTTTCCAGGGAATCAAATTACCTGAGAACTATTCAAACACTTATCTGATACTTTTTATGTACATTATCTAAAACTGGTGCAACTTCAGGCCGCTGCTGATCTTAACTGAAGTGATACTCAAAGATACATTTCTCATTCTTCTTCTGGTGTTTTTCTTACCCCCAATGGAGCTAAGACCCTCAACCAACTCTCGCCAAGTTGTTCTATCCTTCGCTATCACATGCAGCTCTCCCCATCTTTTCAACTTCACTCTCTAGCTCAATTACCATGTGTTTTTTGGTCTTTCATTATTTCTATTTCTACACCCCTGTGGGGTCCAGTGCAAAGACATTCTAGTTATATTGTTCTCAGGTTTTCTCAACGTGTGTCCTATCCAAGGCAAGCGTCTTTTCTTCACTTTTTGGTCCACAGGAACTTGATTAGTTCCGTCCCAAAGCTCTACATTAGTGATTCTATCATACCATTTAATTCCCTCTATTCTCATTAATGCCAAAATACTTACAGAATAAGGAAGTACATGTATAAAATGGTTTGTTTCAACAATGTAAAGCAACATAATTTACTGTATGGGCTACTTTAATTTTTTGCTAAGTTATAAGTAACCTGAATGAAAAACATGTATCTGCCTAAGACCAATTCAGAAAGCCAATAGCAAAAAATCTGCTCTAAATTATAATTCAAAATATTTATCTTGATACTTGTGCTTTCAACCTCCCCCCACCCCCAACTTGTTATTTATCATAGCACCATTTAATGACGGATAGCCTGTGACTTTCTATTCATCCAGATGGATGTTGAAAAACTTTATAAAAAATTATAGGTTGGCCTGCAAATAAAATAAAAAGTGTAACTACATTTTAAACACTAATGTAACAGAGAAATATTAATTGAAATTTTTTTTCACAATATTCAATCTTAAAAAAAAAAAAATGAAGCTTTTTTTCATAGCTAAAAAAAAAAACAGTTGCATGAAATATCTGGAAATTTGTATAAGCCTCAAGTCTCTCAATATTACATATAATAATTATTGTATTTACAACATGGGAGACATATTAAATGAAGACTTCTCCATTTGCAAATCTATAATGTTCGACAAGAAATTAACCTAGTAACTACTACCAGCGCAGACTGCTCTGCGCTGTTTTTGAAAACGGACTGAGTGCCTCACTCTTAAGAAAGTAATGGCAAACTACTGAATGTAAAACTGCAGAGTAAAATTACACAACAGTCAATAACTGGGGATGGTGTGAGATGTTCGGAAATGCATATGAAACTAATTAATTATTTTACCCATTCTTTAATATCTTGTTATGGTCTACAATGACTGCAGTAAAAATGATTAAAGCCACAATTAAACAAAGTGATTTTCTACAACCCAGTGTTTTCACATTCCAGCTCACGAATGACAACATACTTCTACCTGATTTGCATGAGGTGTTTATTTGTGTGGTGCCGAGACAACATACCTGCAATCAAGACTACTTAATCTGGTGCAGTAATTTCTTTATAAACACTAAAATGCAGGTTAAATCTCTTATGATGTTGGTAAATCTGTGATCTTACTTCACAATTCAAACCCTCCTTAAACATTTTAGAGTTTTACAATAATTTTTATGCTTGACTGTCTTTAGAAATAATGCAACACTTTTAATCCCTAAAATATAATACTCATTCTTGTAGTTTTAAAGTCTAATTAACTTTATACTGAGTTCTTCATTACTTGGTCTACCATTGCTTTCTGAATGACTAATTCTCCAGACCACTGTCAATAACGGTACAAAGCTGTCTGATGCCAAATCGTCTGCAGCTGGAACTGAACTGGTTATTTCAGACTTTCAAGACGGTGTTCGCAACGACCACAGACACACACAAATATATTAGTATAAACAAGAAACATACATTTTGCTGCACATAGAAACAAAACCTTGCCTGGTTGAATATGCTCAACACAAATATAAAAGATGAGTACACGTTATACTGCTTGACACACATCCGCAATAGCTGATCATGGATGGATGCCACGGGGGGAACAATAAGGTAATCATAAAGTTTGAATTTGAATAACAATAACATTGTATCATAAAATTTCTAAAAACACTACCCACAAAATCAGTGACTTTGTCCTATGTTAAATATGTTTTAAGAAATTCCAGTGCAGCTCTATTTATTTTTTTTAAAAAGGGGGAGGTGGGGGAGACCAAACAGCAATACATGACAGTGGGTAGTCCCCAATTAAATAAAAATACTTGTAAATATGCATGCCGACCACTCAGAATTGGTGGTTTGTGTCTGATAGCAGAGTTTTTCAAATTTTGTGTACTGAAATAGCATTTTTGAGAAAAGTTTTCTTTTCATATGTATTTAAGTTGCCAACGAACATTGTGCAGCTGACACATCATCAACATCATTAACCTATGGGCAACCGCACCTATCCACAACCTGCATCAGTTCATGTGGACACCCTTCCTTGCCATAACAAAAGGCTGTCATGAATCTTCCAATGCTGAACCGACACATAATCAATAAAAATCATGCCCTGAGAAAACAGTCAGCACTGTTTAGACAAATATATAATGCATGTAACTGCCCAGAGTGTTTTTTCTACACCTTTAAAATGCTCAGACATAGGAATTCTTTGTATGCATTTGTGCAAAAGAAATAGTGAATTCACAAAAACCAGATGGCAGTATTACATAATGATAACAGATGATGAAACATGAGCACTATGAAAAATGGTAAGGCATAATTCTCAATGTCCGACTTAAAACAAATTATCCTAATAGTAGAATAAATCAAGCATGCCCATTGAACAACCTGTATTATTTCAGCCTGGGTGCTATTATTTATGCGATGAGGAAAAATAAATAACACACATTACACACACACACAAAGCAAACATAAAAATAGCACAAACAGAGGATGACTTACTTCGAGGATTCGGTGGTCTCGGCCCACCATGCTGGTCCATGTCCACTTGTGAGGTGTCCTGGAAAGCTGGATTCAAACTGCCCATGTTGCCGGCTGTACCACTAGCAAACTGCTGTGGTAAAGGGTGATGACTGGATGAGTAGCCCAGTGCACCACTCCCAGAACTGCCGTCATGAAGCATACTTGATGAATTTGAGGACAAATCTGTCATACAATATTATTTTTAAAAATTAATGTTTGCAAGTACACAAGCATACATCATCTTTAATCCAGCAAATAAGTAAAGTAAAAGTAAAGATCCTTTTACATCCATTGGCCCAACATCATATATATTCCCTCATATTAATATATACCTCTATCTGGTGAAATAAACATTTCTAGACCCTCTAGTTTGAGAAGTCTACATTTTCAAACTTGCAACTGTGGGATAGATATTTCTAGAATTTTATTCAGAAATTCCTGTAAGCCTTTTTACTCCTTGGGCACGAATACAGGACTTCTTTTCTAGAGACGCCAAGTGGAATCTGGGGCGGGCATTCTTTTGCCAGACCTCTGAGGTGTCGTGAGATATTTCAATTCTCTCATTAAACAGGCGCATTCAAAATACCAGTTTAAATCTTTGAAGGATTCCTAGGCTTGGGTAAGTCGATTATAGTTTACGAGTACGTTGATATATGTCTCTTTAAAGTTGGCCACTGCTGCAGGGAGGGAAGATTCAGCTGTGTGACTGCACAGAACTGGACCGTTCTTGATGTCTAGAAAGTCAAGCCCCTAAAATCAAACCTTTCCCTTCGCAGGCTAATAGTTTGTGCTTTACATAACCCACACCATTATAAAGATATTAACCCAACAAGTTAATTATTCTCTAACCAGACAATGAAGTTTGTGTCGACTAGCAGACACATGTAACGGGGCCGCCGTCAAAAGCTAGGCGGTCTGAGTCAAAGGTTATTTTTAGAACAACACGGTGTGTGGGATGAGCAGACGGTGGATGGTATAATATGTATATGTGAGAGAGAGATGGGATGTATATCTGCAAGTGCAGAGGTGGGTGTGGAGATTTGATGGTTTATGTTTGAGAGAATCTGTCTGTCTCCACTGTTGTACTTGTCTCCTGTCCCTGTTCCTGACTGACCGACAGAGATAAATTTGGAGGCTTCTGCTGTCTCATTATTCTAGAGCTGTCCTCTGAGTGATTGCCAGGGGTGGAGGGTAAATAAATGAGCTGAGCATGTAACCTCTGAGATGATTACTAATTCTGAGTTCCTTCCTGATACAGGATGAAATCCTCTTGGAGGTCAGGCATTGAATCAGCAGTCTAGAAAGGCACCAACCACCAAAGTGCCCACCACTAAAGTAACCACTACTAAACCATCACTATGGCAAACAGCAAGGTGGGAGTCAAAGAGTAGGCATCTGCTTACAGGCAGCGCCATTGACATTCACACCAGTGTGCCTTCCCCAGGAGCGTGTTGGGTTCCAGTGGCTGAAAGGCTGTTGTTCCAGTCCATCAGGACCACCCTCGGTCCAGAACACCCTCTTCAGGAGCTTGTTCAGCTCAAATTTTGATCTATATGTGACTGTGTCTGCCATATCAACCAATGAAGTGAACTTTCTCAGAAGGCCAGCCTGTTGCAGTATCATGAACTGATAAGTGCAGTGACTTCAACCTGGAATAGGAACAGATAAGTAGTGAACTCTATGGTCATGCCGTGTTCCATATTTACAGGTCCGCGTCAATTCACGATGATGATGTCAGGCTGCCTCTAAGAGATTCCTCAATGTCCGTCAAGAGATTTTCGATGTTGATCTTGCAATATTCCAGTGCTTTTTATCTTCCTTTGAGTCATATATCATATTGATCTTGAATTGATTACATGTCATTTTTAAGGTTTCACTATTGACTGGAGTGTCACTCATTCATTGTTCTTAGCTGTCTAAAGTACATGTATGTTCAATTAATAATTTTCATCTGTGATAACATGGCTGTGGTAGTATACTATCATAACCTGGGGGCTATCTTTTTATAGTAGTGGGGGTGTCCAGCCAAGTGTGCCTGGGAATATTAGATATTCTGTAGTGCCAGAGCTTGAGTTGCCCTACTCCTGAAATAAGTTGAGCGTATATTGGCCACGGGATCTCTCTTAGACCAATACGAGCCGACGCCTCAACATTATTATTTCAGAGTGCTGTTGGTTCTTAAGGAGCAATCCTTAAATCAGGCACGCGACACGAGCGGTATGTGACACGCAGCTTGTGTTAATGTCATGTTTTTGTAGTCTCTTTTACTCCCACCACCAATATCTTTCTCGGCCAGCCTTTTGCCTTGTTGCCTGCTGTTTTCATGTAGTACGCTCTACCTGTTAGCTGAATTTGTTCTATTCTGAACAGATGACCAAACCATTTGATTCTTTGATGTTCTACAAAATGATTCACTGGTACTATGCCTATCACTGCTCTTAGTTCTCCATTGGTGACGGTCTCTTCTTGTTTTTCCCCCGTCACATTTCTTATACATCTAATCTCAGTTGTAAATATGCACTTATTACTTATGTTTTTTCAAAGACTGTCAATGGTTGGCACTGATAGCTTGAAGTTGATATTAATAGCATATTTATCAGCTGTTTTGTTTATGGCACTCCAGAACATTAATTTATAAAATCTGTCAGTACCCAATGGGTGATGTGGTCATTATCATGATAGCCATCTTTTATCACACATAAAATTTACTGGTACCCTGTCTGGTAGTCTTAGTTTCAGCTTCATAGCAAACGGGTCACCCCATCTTTGCTCTGCTCCTGTGCCAACGAAAAACACATAGAATGTTTATCACAGTCCAGTCCAAGTGGAAAGATTGATAGACTGCTGTTTCAGCATATCTAGCATACTCTCATTAAAGCATACGGTAGCCAACCGAAGTGCTAACAAACAGTCCGATATTAGAAATGCAGTTCATCATTGATGGTAGCAGAAGTCACCAACAGATCAGCAGTCGCCCACGCGATCAATTTTAATCACATACGGGCACCACCAACATTGCGATGACAGGCATCGCGCCAGTATAGTTCAATTATACAAATTTGCCTCAATCACAGATAATCAAAGGGTTTCCCCACGAAAAGAGAATCCCTTATGAAGCCACACCATTCAAGGCATACACTAAAAGAGGAGAAGGATGTAGAGCACAAGAACAAGAGGGAAAGATTTCAGAGGAACTCTACAACACCATTGATGATGGTCAAGAAACCACGACAGCACAAGTAGAATCTTATATCTCCCTCAACCCGTAGCAGTCAAAGAGGAAGTGAAGAAGACTCCGATTCTACTGACATTAGTTTATTATACAGTGCTGATGCTAGACTGTTTAATGAAATATTATAGTTTATTATACAGTGCTGATGCTAGACTGTTTAATGAAATATTTTAGTTTATTATACAGTGTTGATGCTAGACTGTTTAATGAAATATTTTAGTTTATTATATAGTGCTGATGCTAGACTGTTTAATGAATGATTTTAGTTTATTATACAGTTATTATACATATTTTATCAGCCCAACTGCAGGAAATGAAAGAATATAATCCCTACAATTGTCTGCCTCAAGTGGTTTCATCACCCTTGTTACAGCATAGGCGCCCACACTAACGTGAATTGAGGATGCAAAGGATTCTTTTCATGAGGAACTGGATAAATCAGTGAAAGCAATTCCTAAATCTGATGGCATTTACATACTTAGTGATTTTAATGCTCGCGTGGGGTCGGACTCAAACTCATGGCCAGTTTGCCATGGAAAAAAATATATTGGTCATATGATTGAAAATGGGCAACAATGACTATTGGAATTCTGCAAAAGAAGTGACTTCTGCATTAAAAAACCCACAAACATAAAATTATTTCGTTGCTACGTCATAACTTCAGTAAATATGTGTTTTCCAATGGTCTTTGGCGACCCCTGTGAAATGGTCATTCAACTCCCAAAAAGGTCTCGACCCACAGGTTGAGAACTGCTGGTCTGTGGGATTAGAGAACATAGAATTAAGGACTGATATGAAGCAAATAGACACTACAAAATTAATTGAAAGGAAATAGTTAATACTCAACAGAAACAATGAAAAAACTAAGAACAAAATGAATTGAGAAAAGCTAAACAGTGTGTCAATGACTTCTGGATCCAGTTATGTGAAAGCATTCAGAATGCAAGAAGCAGTCAAAATATTAGAGGTATGTATAAGACATAGAGAAGGCCATCAGTCCAACTATTTAAAAAAAAAAGAGCACCACTAAAGAGCTTGAATATAAGATTACTACTGACAAGAAACAGCAGCTAGATAGACAGGTAGAGCATTTTCTGGAGCTGTACTCAGTTGGGACCAAACTAATAGATGCTCCAACCTTTAAATGACAGAAAATTGTTAATACTCATTTAGAAACAAGGAGCTGAGTGAGAGGACAAGAACTGACATCACAGTACTTTGGGCATTCCTATATGCGCTCCATTCCAATCTTCAGCAGCCAGCGCACAGTTCCAATACTAATGGTACCAGTCGTAGTCTAGTTTTATGTCCGTCTTGCCTTTCCTCTGAGAGCAATGTGCCAGCCAGACCCTCAGGTCACACCTAGGTGCACCATTCTCTCCAGGCCATAATGAGCCAGTTTGTCTTCTGACTTTGTTACATGTTTCAAAAGGGACTTGACCACATATGCCTTGTCATGTATTATTTCACTATCTAGTGGAGCAGATCCAGCCAATCTGCCTGCCTTGTTCTTCCTCACCAAGCCAGCATGGCCTGGAGAAAAGATCCAAAGTATGCTCACTCTCCGTGACCTTCCAAGCGAAACTTGCCATTCTGCTTGAAGCATTCCGTCTTCACCTTTTTCAGCACGCTTTCAGTCTGTTTCAATTACCACATGTGTATGCATCTTGTTCTCTAGCCACTGTTGAGCTGCAGTGACCACCTCCACCTCTATTCTCATGCTAAATGTTGTGGCATCATGTGCTAGGCAGTCATGCACTACAAATTTTCCATTGGCATTCGCTTATGTGCCCCGAGGCACTTCTCTTCCCTCTCAACACAGAACCATCTGTTTAGATAATCAGATAATCTAAAACAAGGAAAGAACAAAGAACACTCTCAGTGAATTGAGAGAAGCTAGAAATCATTTGCAAAAAGTAGCTAGACAGTGTGTCAACGACTACTGGACAGCGGTCTTATCAGCATTTTAAATATAAAAGGAATAATCGTAACAGAAATTTGAAAAACACATATGCATGCGACACAACAACAAATGCTACCTTGACTAAGCCTGGACGCAGCACTAACTGAAACCCCTCTGCTTCTCTGACTTTCATATTCCTCTTTGACAAACGTCACATCTAAGTGTAAATCATCTTCATCATCTGGACCCTGATTGCTGTCGGCACCAAAAAACTCAGCGTGGGAAGCATTACTGAAATGTTCTGCATGGTTCCTGTCTGTTGCATGTTTCGAAGACTGTCCACTACCGAAGTAAACTGAAGATGATGATGAAGATGACGATGTCTGTAGCGTGGTGTACTTGAGTGGAGGTTGCATGCTGTTGTAATTACCATTGTGTTCTTTTTTTCTCTTTCCGGTATTCTGTAGCGAAGAATGGTGAGACGAATGTTCCATGATTCTCGGTTTGATGTTTTCATGGGCGCCAGATAGTACATTACTGATGCTGGTGATAGCTGACTGTAATCTCAAAGTCCCTGAAGTTGGGGACATGGAAGCATCTTCGAATGCCGAATGTTCATCATCCCTGTCTTTTCTTGGCAAACACTCATCAGAAGGGGGCACTGCCTGGAAACTCTTGCTGACAAACATTGTAGAGTTTTCGGCATTTTTGCACAACTTTTCCTTCACAACATAATCAAAACTGGATCCACTATCAATATTTAAATAGATGTGCCCGATAATTTCAATGCCGTCGTTGAACTCCACATAGCCATGGCACAGTGTCTGTAGTGCCTTGACTAAAGCAGAAATAAATTTGTTTGCAGATTCACTGTTCATTGCTTCAGTAACCACAAGCATCAAAGAACCTGAAATTATAAATGAACACAATCAGAAATGTCACACAAGGAAATTAAGACATGAGTCATCTAGCTCACAGTCACACAAGGCAAAACAGCCACAAGTTAACTAGTTCATCGCCACACAAGGAAATAATGAATGAGTTATCTAACTCACCGTCACACAACGAAATACTGTTATGAGTTGTCTAGTGCAACAACAGACAAAGAAATAATGACATGAGTTGTCACTTAGCTCATTCTGTCAGGTTTACAATCCTAGGTGAGAACCTTATGTTACACATCCCCTGATTTCTGGATGTGATTGGATGCCTAGCCTTGTACATTGTATTGGCTGCACTGTGTGCCTCATGCTCTGAAGGTTGTTGGTTCAGGTTCAGACTCAGCTATTTGCTTTACAAGTGAAAGTGTTTCAGAGAACCATGGTGGAAGTGGTCAGAGCTAGAGCTAAGGAATTAAGTGATTAGTGCAATGCTCTAAAGAGGAGTCAAACCAACTCTATAGAGACAGACCAAACCATAAGGGATTAAACTTGGTGCAACAAAGTTGATCCTCTCACTTTTCCACATCAAAGACAAGGATCAGTGAGTATGTTAATCATATTAAAATGCCATGGAACTTTGAAATCCTAAAGATGTAATCTATGTTGTTGCTGTTCTGGCAGGTATGATGTTGAGAACAGCACCCACTGAATGCAGACTGATCTATTAAAAAAAAAATGCTTTCAGTCTAGTATCCTATGTTTGATGAGCCACTAGTACAAACACGTTCTTGGTGGCTACCGATAACATTTAAGAGATAAGAAAATCTACTCTGCAACACGAACATAGGTATTCCAATCTCATTATTCCATCCATGTACGGTAAGTAACTTTACCAGCGTGATCTCATATAACTGATTCTCACTGACTTGTTGGTGACATGTTTGATTTTCTTCTTCTTGCATACACTGGCTGTAAACTTCAGCAGAAACTTCTGGTTGTTTGTCCACCTCTTGTTCCAGAACCTGAGTGTTGCATGCACATTCATTTTACAGACATGACTTGTGTATGCAGATTGTTGATTCCTTGCCTCTCAGGCAGACGCACTCCAACTCTGAAGGAAGCCAATGCCTCCCCCACCCCGACAGGTAACTCCTACAAAATACTTGTTGGGGAGGCAGTGGGTCTATTCTGGTTTTCTCCACAATGGGACCCCGAAACCCACACTGGATATGATCAATTGTTAAATATCAGTTGCTTACAAAAATGCGTTGATGAAGCACAGACATGGGGTCAAGCAATGTCACCATATTTTGAGAGTGGTACCATATCAAGCTCTTGACAAAACAGATATTTAGTCAAAAACAATGTTTCCATGTCGTTTATTCACTAGACTTATTTCACGAGGGTAATATTATCTAACAATGATGTTTAATGTCTAAAGCCAACTTAGCTTAAAAACTGCATTTATCCCATTATGATTTTTCGGCTATCCTCCGAATAACGGTCGTAAATTATCGAGGCAGGAAATATACCCTAACAGGGCCTCAGTCACGTGTCAATTGCGCACTTCCAGGGACTATAACGCTCACGCGGCGTGGATTGGGGCTAAACTAGATGGCTAGGACTCACGAGCAAATAAAATGAAGGAAGCTGCGGTAGCTGCTGCTCTTGAGTCCTAGCCACCTAGTTTAGCCCCAATCCATGCTGCGTGAGCGGCGTGGGGGTCACTCTCCGCGGTGGCGGAAGTTGCCAAAAGTTTGCAATTCGGCGGTGGCGGAAGTCGCCGGAGCGCGCATTTTAAGACGAAAGAAGTGCGCAATTGACATGTGACTGAGGCCCCGTTGGGGTATATTTTCCGCCTCGATAATTTACGACCGTTATTTGGAGGATAGCCGATTTTCCATAATCCGTAAAAGCTAAAGATGCGTTTTCCTCTCCCGAAGCGTACTGCATCTAAAATTATTATCAAACAACCATGTTTACTTCACAGGATATTTTCAGATACCCATTTTATCTAGGCTGACCCGGAATCTCTCGCCAGTTTTTAAAATTCCCTGACATGATGAGAAATCAGATGGCAACCAGGCACATGTGTTAATCACTGAGCTACAGAAGTTCTTGTTATAAGTAAAACATGGGTCAAATTATGCTGTAGACACAGATGTGTCCAAACTTCCTCCCATTACGCTACAATGGCTAACAGAAAAAAAAAAAGAGGAAAATTTATGAAAAGACTAACATCAGCTTTTTGCTCTTTGGCACTTTCTTACATAGATAGTCGTTTGCAGAGGTTTCAACATCACTGCTCAATTTCTGTGCCAGCGGAAATCCCATAGAATGTCACTCACTATTGCATTAGAAAACTAGTGGGAAAAACTTGACAAACAGCAAAATCTTGCACATGCAAAGTAAGAATGCAGCTGATAGATTTGAAACACTAATGGCCTTATACCAGAATTGCAGCTCATTGTTGGTGAAAATGTTCAGTCATGTAAGCTGGCATTGCACTCGCAAAAGTGCATGCCATTTAACAACAGAAATAAAAAATTCCACATGAACTCTACCGCTCAGTGTTGCACCAAGCACTCAGCGTAGTAGCACACGGAAAATTAAAAGCACACTAAAACGGATGCACTGACTCAGAAAGCCAACAGAGTCCAAATGTCAAAACTGAATAAACTTGACAAAACTGGACTGTTATTTTTATTTCAGTCCAATATGGCAGATAGGCGAGCTGATAGTTAAAAGAGTTATTGTATATTATTTGCTATTGGCCACGGTTTGCTGTCAAATGTTTCTTCACACTTGGACTAAAAGTAGACAACTCTGTCACCTAGATGCTGAGTTCAATGCATGGTGCAAACACTGTGTGCTGTGGTTGTCATATAAAATGCTCACTGACTGTGTCCAAGCTGGTTCGTGTTGAGTACTGTGGGTGACCTGTTGTCACACCCTTTGTGCAATACTGCAACTATAACTGTTGATTAGTTGTAACTACTACTTCAATTGGCAATAATATGCAATTTGTTTCACACCTGTTTGTGTTGGCAGTTCTGACAGCTACCTTATGCATTGAATGGTGCTGCTATTCATTTCAATTTTTTTCCCCAAGATATTCAGCATTCTGTGTAATATTTGCTGGCTTAGGAACGAGCAATTATGGAGTGATCTGTCTGCTGTGAAGTTGGAAATGCGACTAACTTACTTCTTCCCCATTTCTCTTACAAAAGAGTAGGTTACACCTTTAGATGTAGCTCAGAAATTATTGCCTGACTTTAGCTTGCATTTGTGTAAGGTCTGTGCTGTTCATGATAGTGGTTTCTATTTATTCATTGGTACATTTAGGTAGGTGCTAAGTTTTGCCAGGACTCCAGCCCAACAACATACATTTTAAAAATGTCTAACTACTGTAGAAAAGACCTTTTTTTTTAATCCTTATCCGATAAGGCCGACTTGCTATCTGATCTCATTGCTCAAGATAAAAGTGGGACACACGAGATCATTAGACACCAATAGTTGCAAATATTTTCCAGCTCTATGTGATGATTCAAACACAATATCAAGTGTGCCTGAGACAGTTACCTATGCTCCCCTTCTTTTCAGATCCTTATTTAAATGACTGCCCATAATAATAACATCTCCCAGTAAATAATAATGAACATTAAAAATAATTATCAACACTGTCAAATCATTAATTTGTTTGATATTACTCACTAATGATTTCGTGAATAAAATAGTTATTTCCATAAAATACAAAACATTTAGTCATTTCAACCCTACATTTTTTGGGGACGCAGCTCGAAATCCACCTTTTGCCACATTCCACTATAATTTGTTTATGATGGTATACGAGTATACGCCACTAAAATGTTAATATCTTCGCTTATAATGAACTTACAGGCTTCACTGAGGTATCGGTATCATTAGACTGGATATTTTAAGCCTTTTCCGACTGTGATAGTTTCATAAGTAATAACCCAATATATAGAACTTCACTAGCATCCCTACTAATGTACTATCAGCTTGTTTATTTCCTTACATGCTTATGACATAAGTTATGGTGCCCTAGTATAAAAGTAATTTTCAAATTGAAACCTATCTTTGTATTGTCAGCTCTGACTGCCTCAGAGACACCATGACCAATCATGGTCTTTAGTTCTTCAGACCCAGCCCATCTAATCTATCAATGTTATCTTCCTGAGCTGTCCCTAAGTCGCCTAAGAAAGAAAGCTTTTAAGGTTGTGAGTTTGATTTTAAACTTCATCTTTCCATTTCATAAAATTCAGACCTTTCCGATACCCCTGGGTTGGGCAAAGGATAGGGATGGGGTGTCGCTGGAGGAGCTATATAGTCTCCTACTTTGTGCGAAACTTTTAACTCTTGGAGAAAGCCAAGCCGATGGGTAAAGGTATAGCTTTACAGTACACTAGCAGCTCTCACATATGGTACACAAACAAGTGACTTAATAAGGCCGATCCTCTTGTCAAATTACCTTGAAAATTATTATACATTACAGATGAAGTGAACTATGAAAGAAAGTTCATCTCTGAAATCTTCAAACCGTTTGAAGATTTCAGAGATGTACATTCTTATTTGACAAACGCAATCACTGACAATCATCTCTCAATCACAATCCATTCTTTCTCCTCCAACCAGCACAAACAAAAATGTGTTGTTACATTGTTACTCTGATTGATACTCATGAAACCATCTATCAGCCAGCATGTTTATATCTGTCTCATGCAGAGCATAATTCACTTGTTAGGACAGAAAAATATTGGTTTACAAACCTGATGCATATTATTAACTACCTCTGTAGCACAAAATCTAACAAGATGCACACGATTCCAATTCCAGCCCTGCACAACCAACAATGGAGAATGGAGGTCGCCTGAATTCTTCTGCAAGCCGACTGCGCATGTGTGGTAAACACTCGTTGTGTAGAATTTTATTTTATTTCGTTTTTATATTCTGTTGTAGTCTATTGTCCCCCTGTGTGATCAGGTCACACATGCTCC